TACAGAGTCATTGAAAGAGTCAAGAGTCATTGAAACTTTAATTTAAGCACCCTGGTAATCAAACACATTCACATTTATTAAAATAATAACATTTATCCAAAGCAACTTACAAATGAGCAATACAACAAAGCAATTCATCTAAAGAGGCAGTTACATAAGAAGTTGCATTATACAAAGTTTAAAAATTGCTCACAAAAGTACAGTTACAACAGAGAGACACAATATCGTACAAGTAGAATTTAAATTAAAGGCAGCAGGACTTACTAGATGATGGCAGACAGATCCATTCACCCTCTGTGCCCTTCAGTCCTCCTCCTTAAACACTAAGATCACAATCCTCACTGTCATGTAAAAATATGAGACCGGAGCAAAGTGATACATCTGGGCACAAAGCCACTAACCATAGAATTGAAGGCCAGCAAAACTTTACCTGCACAAAGGTCTTGTTCCTAAGGGTCTCTAGGTTTCGACAACTAAGCAGACATTCCGTAATGGCTTCAATGTAATCTGCCTCTCATTTGCCCCCAATGCTGTTTAATGTAATTTACTGAGCCACTGTAGATTCTATAGTTAAATTTGTCATCATTATGAGGTGCTGTTTTGCTGATTGGGTTTATTCTACTTCCTGTACCATTGATTCACCACCTAAAAATAAATAAGGAGGAGGTGGCATGTCCAGAACTGATTCAATGTCAACTGTTAGAAACATTTACGCACACACAAATACAACAAATGCTTTTTTTTCAGATGAGACCTGTCCATCAAATATGTGGGACTGCAAGAACCGTGGGGTTAATGGTACACAATGTGGTCAGATTGTCTGGAGGCTGGAGGCAGGGCCGTACTTCCTTGAAGGTGAGTGACACCACAGCCAACAACTGACTCCATCTTGATGTTATATAATATTTAATGGAATAGGAGGTTAGACAAAAGTATTGATACAGATTTTTGAAATTGGATTAACTTGTTTTACATTCTTGGTGCCCAGGATTCATTTTGAAATACTGAGCATCTTAGAAGTACTTAAGGTTATAAATATAAAATGTAATTTTATTTTCTGCTATAAAATATCATGCTGACTCTACAAATATGATGGACAGATTTGTTATGCTGGCACTCTTCTGGTTATCTCTTCTAGCTGAGACAAGGATCTGTTTTAAGTACTACCATGGAGTAAGCGGTGCGCTGAGAGCCACAACTCCCTGCATCCATAGACGTGCTTCCACACAGTTGCCACCATTCGCCCCTCTCTCACCACAGCAGTTCTCCCATCCAGGCCCCGCTCCAACCCGGCGTCAGGCATGGCGCCTCAGGGGCGGGATCACCTGGCCACACGGGAGTCTGCAGGTCGTAGACGGAGCCCAAATGTGCGGTACACACTCAGCCCAGAGAATCTTCGCAGCTTAGCTGAGCGTGGTGGGGCCGAGCAGGCTGGAGTTGGACTCCTCAGAGCCAACAGTGATACAGACTTGGTCAGTTCTCAAGGGCGATCCTCACTCACAGCTTCTACTTTAGAGTTCACTCTGGGCCGGGGCCAGAACTTGGTCATCTCATGGGATATTAAGGAAGAGGTGGATGCCACAGACTGGATTGGCATGTACCACATAGGTAAGAATTGTTGTTATTGTGACTAGCATCTAACTTCCAACAGTTCTGGGTTTTGCTAACATGAACTAGTCTTCTTGTAGTGTACTGAGCATCTTAGAAGTACTTAAGGTTATAAATATAAAATGTAATTTTATTTTCTGCTATAAAATATCATGCTGACTCTACAAATATGATGGACAGATTTGTTATGCTGGCACTCTTCTGGTTATCTCTTCTAGCTGAGACAAGGATCTGTTTTAAGTACTACCATGGAGTAAGCGGTGCGCTGAGAGCCACAACTCCCTGCATCACAGTCAAGAACCCCAGGGCCTCGGTCAGTTAGAGTGTGTCAGTGTGTGTGTGTCAGTGTGTGTGTCTGTGCAGACATTATTCTTTTGACAACATTATAGCTCACAAGAACACATGGTGTGGTTAAGTGCTTGGTTTTTCAATGTAATTTTGTGTAAATAAGTTGTCATAAAGACAATAAATGCTAAAACATTTTCAGTGCATTCATCACACTGGAAATGGAAGGTCAAGCACATTGCATTGTGTGATAAGGTATCCAACACAGTTGTCTTTGATTGTGCATATATAAAATAAAATAAAAAATACTGTACTGTAGCTACTGTAGCGTTCTTGTTCGCTACAGCCCAGAATATAATTAGTAAAGGTTATAGAGTACTGTACATGAGGTGCTAAGTGCTAAATGGCTATTTGACTGCATCCTCACATCTGTGTGTTTGGAGGTCGGACATTTCTCAGTTTCCGTAAGTGCAGGCCATTTATCATGTCATTGGATGAATATAGGGAGCTCAGTCATATACATATGGGAGCTCCTTAACTCCTTAAAATACTTATTATTTATCACTGTTAGTCTGTGTTTATTACATAAGAAGGCCAGGTGTATGTTGCCACTCATATCAGTGTATCTTCCAGGTCGACGGTCAAGGTGAAGGACAGCAAGCTTCAGACAGCAGCCGGAAATTGGTCAGCTTTACCCTATCAGGTAAGTTTTCTGTGTGCAAGAGATAAAACGCAATGATCAAATGATGATTTATACTCTTTAAATAACTGTCAGTGACTTGTAATGCTGTTATCCTACTGGCAGAATTATTCAAGATGTTTTTTATAGCTAATTGGGCTGTTGTTTGTTTTAGATATCCGGGCTGTGGGGCTGAAGAAGGGGATGTTTTTTAACCCAGACCCTTATTTGAAGATGAGCATTCATCCAGGCAAGAGAAGTTGCTTTCCAACATTTTCTCATCATGGCCAAGAGAGACGATCTGGCATTACAACTAACACTACTAATCCTGTGTGGCATGGAGAGGTGATGCACACACACACACACACAAGAGAAACAAACTCTCTAATGCAGGACATGAAAATATAGACACGTTCACAGTCAAATAAACAACTGCTGAAACAGTTCAGATAAAGATTAGTTTTTTTCTTTCTTTGTTTTTCCATCTAGAAACACACTTTTGTGACTCTTATGACAGACGTCTTAGTGATTGAGGTTAAAGACAAGTTTGCTAAAAGTCGGCCAATTATTAAGCGCTTTTTGGGTCAGCTGAACATTCCGGTGCAGATGCTGCTGGAGAGACACGCATCAGGGTGAGCATCATGGCAGCATATCATCTAATCATCACCACACTATAACGTGTGATTTACAGTGGGTATAGAAAAGAATCGCCCCCCTTTAAAATAATCACATTTTTTTGCTTTGCAGCCTGAAATGAAGACGGACAGAGTTTTTGTTTTATCCAGCTGTATTTACTCAGTGCAACTTATAACATCCAAGTGAAAGATATAACACCAACATGTCAGAACAAAATACAAAAATAAATAACCAGAATCACTGAGTTGGAAAAAAGATCACCCCCTTGTGTCAGTATTTTGTTGATCCACCTTTTGCTTTAATTACAGCCTTTATTCTGTTGGGAGTTGTCTCTGTCTCTGTCTCTACTAACTTTGCACATTTAGACTTTGCATTATTATTTGCCCACTGCAGAACTGCTCAAGTTCAGTTAAATTTGATGGTGACCGTTTGTGGACTGCAGTCTTTAAGTCATTCTGACTAGGCCATGCAAGGACATTCACCTTTTCCTCCTTCAACCACTGTGTGGTCAGTTTTGCTGTGTGCTTTGTGTCATTGTCATGTTGGACGGTAAACCTTCTTCCAATTCTGGCAGAGGGCAGCACATTTTCCTCAAGAATTTGACGGTATTTTGCCACATCCATTTATCCTTCTATCCTGACAAGTGCTTCAGTCCCTGCTGCAGAGAAACACCCCCATAACAGGATATCACTGATTTTCAATGGGGTTTAAGTCTGGGCTCTGACTAGGCCATGCAAGGACATTCACCTTTTTCCTCCAACCACTGTGTGCTCAGTTTTGCTGTGTGCTTTGGGTCATTGTCATGTTGGAAGGTAAACCTTCTTCCCATTGACAACTTTCTGGACGCATCTTTTCCTCAAGAATTTGACAGTATTTTGCCCCATCCATTTGTCCTTCTATCCTGACAAGTGCTCCAGTCCCTGCTGCAGAGAAACATCCCATAACAGGATATTACCGCTGTAATGCTTTACTGTAGGAATGTTGTTATTTGGATGGTGAGCTATATTGGATTTCTGCCAGACATATCATTTGATGCTGAGGCCAGTTAATTACATTTTAGTCTCATTTGCCTCAGAATGTTAAAGGGTGTGTTTTGGCAAAGCTCAGTCGTGACTGCATGAGGCTTTTTCTTGAGAAGTGGCTTTTTTCTTGCAACCCTTCCATACAAGCCACATTTGTGGAGAATTTGTGATATTGTTGTCACATGCACATACCAAATACCTTCCACTTCTTAATAATAGACTTCACTGTGCTTCTAGGCGTTGTTAAAGCCTTTGAAATTGTTTTGAATCCATCTCCTGACTTGTGCCTGTCCACAACTTTATCCCTGAGATGTTTTGACCACAGCTGATCACAGTGTCAAATGGCTTTGTGTGCCATTGAAAAGGTCATTAGCTCATTAGTCATTTTTAGGAGGGGGGTGATCCTTTTTCCAACTCGGTAATTCTGATTTATTATTTTTGTATTTCTCTCTATCATATTGGTGTTCTATCTTTCACTTGGATGTTATTAGTTGCACTGAGTAAATACAGCTGGATAAAACAAAAACTGTGTCCATCTTCATTTCAGGCTGCAAAGCAACAAAATGTGATTATTTTAAAGGGGGGTGATTCTTTTCAATACCCACTGTATGTAAACAAACAGGATTCTCAGCATAAACACTGCTATTAGTCACAATATAACTGATCAGTAACACACTACTGTACAAAAGTTTGGGGTTGGGAAGATTTTTTAAAATGTTTTTGAAAGAAATCTCTTATACTCACCAAGACTACATTTATTTGATCAAACAGTAAAATACAGACTTGCAATTTAAAATATCTGTTTTTAGATTTTAAATATAATTTAATATGTTATGTATTCCTGTAAAGGCATAGCTGAATTTTTATTCTGCAAGGATGCATTAAACTGATTAAAAGTGACAATAAAGACATTTTTATAATGTTACAAAATGTTTCTATTTCAAATATATGCTGCTTTTTTAAACTTTCTATTCATTAAAGAATCTTAGAAAGAAAAAAATGGTTTCCACAAAAATATTAAACAGCACAACTGTTTTCAACATTGATAACAATAAGAAATGTTTTTTAAGCACCAAATCAGCGTATTAGAATGATTTCTGAAGTTTAATGTGACACTGAAGACAGGAGTAATGGCTGCTGAAAATTGATTTGCCATCACAAGAATAAATTACATTTTATAATCTATAAAATAGAAAGCAGTTATTTTAAATTGTAAC